ATTTGAAGTTCTGTCTCTGAGAAAATACACAATTAGAGAACTCATCAAGCTCAAGCGGCTTTCAACGTATAAATGAAATGGGCTAACGTGTCTGTGTACTACTGGCTGTTTCTACTTGCACCAAACAGCGACGATGTTACCATAATTGCCTCTCTTTGATCATACTATTTCTCACTATATCAACTTATAAAACAATGGTGTAGAGAGAACAACATTGTCCCACATACTTTTTTCTCTGTATTTGAAACTAAAACTAGATGATAGACGTACAATTGTAGACCAACAATTGTGAATTGCTGATAAGCAATTCTAATGAATGTTAAATGAATATACGTGAAGATAACATTGATTGGTGTTTGTTCTAAGTTTAACAAAAATATAACTTGTTATTATTATATTGCAGACGGTTATGCAAGTACAGATTTTCATAAAGGAATCTATCGAAAATGAGGTCAAATAGAATCATCTGTCTTATTAACGATTCTATCAGATTCCAAGTATGTAATACGAAAACTTCATCAGTTTACTGAACTTCTAAATGCACTGACTGTTGAATAATTCTGTATACGATAGATTCTTAAAATCTGCAGTCCAGTTATTATGTGACTTTGAATAGGTCTAAAAGTTTTCCTCTTGTGAGTCATCTGAATTCATTACCATTGCTTTTCCTTCCTCCAATACTTATTTGCTTCATCTACGCCACTAGACATAACTTTCTACTCTATAATACTTATACTCCTCATTATACCGGATGTTAATAAAAATGTGCGTCATTCTCACAGGGTGCAATCTACACGCCAATCTAAGACGAAAATCAAGAACGACTAAAGTTACATTCAAGGCTTTATTTTCGAGTTATTAATCGTTGAAAACGTAAACAAAACACACGTAAAATACGTATTGCACGACTCGAACAGCCGGTTGATACACGCGGACTCGTTCGATGACCTAGTGAAACTAATGAATGAAATAATCTGAAATGAATGAAATCGATTCGTGGCACAGTTGAAGTAGGCGCCACTTCACCTCTTAACGCACCAAATAAAAATTCAAAAGCGGTCGTTTTTCCACCAATTTTTTTATTCTCTATTTTCTTAAAATACACAAGAACATTAACAAATCTTGAAAAAAAATCGTTTTTTTAAATCACAAACACATCAAGCTATCTTGCCTCTACACAAAAAGCTATGAGATACCAGGCCTGAAACGATTCCAGCCTGGTATCTCGACCAGACGTAATTACAAATATTTCCTGCTCTAATCGATCGGATCGCGCGAAGATCCCGGTTCAACCGGGTCTCTATCTCGATCTTGTTCTCGGTCGGTATACGAGCGCCACGTAAGCCCAACGTTGCCAGAAGTAGAGAAAACATTGTTGCATAGAGACAAAGTGACGTAGCAGGGAGTACAATACGTATACAAATAATTTCCAATCAGTTTTATTACACTACATCTATCAAATCTTTGCAAAATAATTTTTTCTATTTCTTTAATTATCATACCTCGTCCCATACTTTCGGCCGGTAGTGTATACAAGATGTCCCACAAATATCAAAAAAATGTGAGTGGAAGTATTATTCAGTTAGAACGAGCAAATATTATAATAAGCAAAAATTTGTTTCAAGGTCATACTTCGAAATGTCAAGGTCATCGATGTTTTATTAAATAGAACTACACATTTCTATTAACGTGGCGTCATAGTTGAGATCAACACCAATCTAATGACCTATAATAGCGTGACCTTCATGTGTCGTAATTAAATAATTGTTCGACAAGTGTCGATTTATTCATAAAGTATCATTTCATTATAAAAATTGAAATTTTGTTAAGCAATTCAAAATGTCGAAATACTTCTGTTTTATCTTCTATTCATTATTCGAAACTTTTTATCTAGTAAGTATATCGAGGGTTAAAATAAATTTTCTGTAAATCAAAAGCAAGTGACGTACTAAAGGTGCTCTCATTAAGTGGGACAACCTGTATAGCTCCATATGACGTCACTTTGTCCCTACCAGTAGGGAATTTTCCTGGCAACGTTGCTCGGGCCCCACCGTGAAAACACCTCGAAACAGGCTTCACAGTGGTCTGTCGAGGCTCTCATTCGCTTTCCCGTCTCGTCAGGTTCTCCGAAGCAGCGCGTGTCCGCCGCCACGCGGAAAGATGAACGCGCGTGACTAGCGGTCCGCTTCGCTCGCAGCTCGTACCGCCCATGTTTGGTGATCCACCGCCACCAGGAGTGATCGAGATAGAGAGATAGACCGAGTGTAGTCACTAGGATGGATACTTCCCATTGGAACCAGTGTCGATCGGATCGCGTTTACGATATATCGTTCCACGGAACCGATCGGTCTCGCGCGCTAGATCTTCCGTCGTCGGTCACACGGCGCAGCTTCGAGCGACGGGCACGCGATGGACACCGCGATGTCGTGTAAGTTCGATGGCCAGAGAAATTGATGAACTTTGAACTTCTTGGGACGTTGAGTATCGATTTTTCGAATTCAGCGCGCTCAATGCTGGCCAGGCAAGGACTAAAATTGGCCTTTTCTGTGGGCGTTACTTTTGACTACCTTGCATCGACGGTGTAATTAGGGTGTTTGTGAAGTGTCGCCAGATATGGGGTGTACCTGGGAATTTGAAGATGAGCTGGGATTGGTTGGTAAAGATAAAGATGTAGTGGAATTTATAATTTGGATGTCTACTTTGGTTACGTAATTCATCAGTTTGTGATAAGTAATTTGACCTAAAAAATGTTTTTATCGAGTCGCTGGGAATGTTTGTAGATTTTTAGGGCAGAGTTTATTTAGTATTTTTATTTACTACTTTTTATTGAATTTCTTCTCTGTTTTCGTTGCAGTAATTGTATACAACTTCGATTGTTTTAGATAAAAAAACTCTTCAACCTTCTAGATTTTTCTTGATACTGAGTGTTCTAGCGTAAATTTACATGCATATGTGACTACTGTAAAATTATATAAATTGTGATTGTGATGTTATATTTGACAACTTGTGGGTCATTGAAACTTTTTTATTAACGCAGTTTTGTAACGTATTTCTCTTAATAACAAAGTAATACTCTGATATTACTACCCGAATTTCTGCTTGTCCCCGATTTTGCCTTAACTTAGAAGTAAAAAAAAAATTTTTTAAACTCCGTGAGGTTCACAATTATATATATGTGACCACTTCACATAAAATTCCCCAAACTTATTCGATTTTTTTATTTACAGCTATTCTGCGACTCCCTAAGTAAAAAAACATAACTATACCATACTCTTACCCTCTCTTTAATATTTAAATGTACACTCCTAAATATTACAACCAATATCTTATAGAAAGCTCCGTACTCTGTACTCTGTTCCGTCTCCAATCTCTTTCCCCCTGCAAATCGTCATCCCGCTTTTGTCACTACATTCCCTCCTTCTACACATGAACACAAACCTTAGCATCCCTTTCCTTTGCATCCTCAACTAACATTCTTCTTTCATTCCCTGAAAAATTTCCGTTACGCACGCCTCAAAATCATCTATTTTTTGAGGCGCGACTTTAAGGGGTAAAACCACCCCTCGAAGTTTCGATTCGAAATTTTGTTGTTAAAAACAAATAATATTTTGGACAATTTGTTAGCACTCATCCACATAAACAACCCTCTACGCCACCGATAACGAAAGGACCCAGTCTGGGTTTCCGTCACCATACGAGGCCAGGCCTATTTAGTCTTATCCACCCTCTTTCAAGACTCCACGCATTTCAAAGCTCTATCATAAATTCCCCCAAGTATGAATGAACGACATTATCCATTCACCTTTGACTCCACTTAACACATTCAGTACAGATAAGAACTGTCGTTCTCAACATGCCCACCTTTGGATGATCGTATTATAGAAGGGATTCATACGTCTTGTAGAGCCATAAGTGAATGTATCGACATCAATAACACCTAAAGGAACAGTTTGGTACTAGTCGTACACTGTTTGAAATATTTCGAGGAGTCACCTAAACGAGAAATCCTACAGATGGGAGCTATAGTACCCATTAACCCTAACCGTACCAACCGCTGGTCAAATGACCGATTTTAAATACAGTGAGTGATCGGTTAACGAATATAATCCGTTCAAAGAAAATGTTCGTTATCCGATCATCGATTTACAATAGATTTTTACGGGAATTTGATTAATTCGTTTGGGAAATCCACAAAATAAATAAAAATTATTGTTAATACTACGTTTATTGTCCGATTTGTTCGCTGTCCGAACTGTTCGTTAACCGATTTCCCACTGTACAGTACAAATAGATACATGAAAGTCGCGGTACAGTTAGTATTAAGGAATGTGACAAAAAACATTTGCTAATTATAATGACATACTGATACTAAAAACATAAAACAGAAGAATCCATTTCTCCAGGCTACGTGGTCGGAAAAGCAAATTACGGCCTGTTCCGAATATGTTACATCACATTAACGCCAATCCATCGAAAATTTATACTCTGTACAAGCCATTCACCCTCCCCTTTCATTCCCTAAACACTGTTCACAGGGTGGAAAACTAGTGTTCGAGGAGGATAAGAGGACCGTGTCGTAGAACCATACGCGATACCAGCTAGTATACAGGACACGCGTTCGATGAAGCTTAACGACGCGAAAAGATTGTAATCTCACGGAAGAGGAAAGGGTGGGGGGTGAGGGTTAACGCACGGAAGGCTTCCCCTGTTGTTCGATTGCGATTGTCCCGGGTCACGGTGACCAAGTAGCTGCTGCTCGATCCCGTTGAATCGATGAAAGAGAGGGGGAACGGTCGATGGTTCGATCCATTATTCACGAGCTCCGATTAGGCTTATCATTTCGCAAAAGAGTGTCGTCTCCCGACTGGTAATCGATCGTCGAACTTACGACGGGAAGCATACCAGCCTCGTTTGTCCCTTGGTGTACGGCGGTCCCCTTTGGTCTATCTTGATTAACCGTACCGCTGGTCGCTGAACGATCTGTTCCTGGTTTTTCGTAGATCGATCGAGAGTCAACGAGTCTGAAGAGATGCAGCGGTGCCCGTATCTACACGAGATGAAGGAGCGCTTGCTCTCGCAACCGACACCGACGGACAGCCTGGACATGGACCGACTGGACGGCACTCCGGTCAAGGAGGCCAATCTGCACAACGATTATCCCGCCCACACGAATCCCGGCGTGATACCAGACCCCCCGGAAATGCCACCGGATTCGCTGATCGGCACGGTGGTCAAGGTACTGGATCTCGAGGGTTTGATCTGGGTGGTCCTTATCGCTACATAATGGAAGTGTGCTCGATATTATCGGGGAATATTAGTCTGATTGGTCTGTAGCTAAAGCCGCGTTTCCGTTTGTGGGAATAGGTGGTCTGGAGACACGATTCAGGGGGGTCTTTAGCGAGTTTTCATCTATTAGCTGAGGTGATGTAAGAATCTGGTTTCAGTGTTGTTTATTTTATGTTCAGGATTGGAGATTGGGAACGGTAGATAAGTAAATTCATGGGTATTGGTTGTGTGCATTCTAGCTCATAAATACTAACACATTCCTTTCCCGGAAAGTAGTCCTAAGTCATTTGAAAATCTATAGTATGTATCACTTGTTTCTCTGTAGCAACGTGATTATTATCTTAATATTAATTTTTTGGTAGATTAGATATTTTTTTTATATATAATAACTAGATAAAGCTGTTTAACGTTTTGGAAACGTGCATTTCGACCCATTATACTTTTAAATAGCAGAACCCTACGGTATTCAGCTAAATTTCGATAAAAGTATCTTTCTGAAATCTAGTATTAAGAAGTAATTCCAAACTTTCAACCTGCAATGTACATAAGTGGAAACGTGGCTTAAGGCTAGTTCCATTCGACTGGTATTCTACTAGGATAAATTGCAAAGCACTTGACATATCTCATTTCAATTCTACCACATTTCTCTTAACATGAATTCCACCTACAACCACCACTTTCGTCATGTAAGAGAAATCCATACGAACTTCTCCACGTTTTATAAAGTCTCCATAGTGACCTTCGTACAGATACTTCCACCCCACTCGACCAAGAGACTATTTCATATCCTTGACACCGCAACTCCGGCGAATTTATGAAAATTGGTGTTGGACACTTGGCGGGTGACCCCCGTAAACTTTGACTACAAGGAAACCCGACAAGTTCCTCTCCACCAACACCACTCCCCCCTCTCCTACCAAAGAACTTTCAAAGTAACGACAACCTCTTACGATGAGAAAAGAATCGATTAGTTCGTCGAGTCTTCAGGTCGGACTCGAATATTCCACCCCCATCTGAATGGCTCGCCCAACGAATAGATCCATCCGCAAACAGGATAAATGGAAAATTCTTTTTTTCTGTCTTTCCACCGCAGCCAATATTCCAAGTGGTCGACGACAACAATTTCTTTCCACCTCACATCACCCACCCCTGTCCATGGATCTGAAGTCTCTAATTTATCGGTTCCAGCTGAATTCCGACGGATACGGGTCGCACACGTCGCCGGCTCACGCGAGGCAGCCACTGGTGCCTCAGAACGCGAACAATCCGCCCCTCTGTCTCACCCCCACGCACACCGGCCCGACGAATGGCACGCTGCCAAAGAACGCAAAGTGAGTACATTCTTACGTGTAGCGCATTCTTACCGTCGTCCCCCCTCGGAACGAAACGGCCTTTTACGACGACCCACGGCCGAATCACGTCTAGCCGGGACGACAAGGTTCGACGATGTTCTTTCGTTGATCTTAGGCCGGGAAATTCTGTGTGGGTGTCGGTTAACACGCTGGGGTCCGCGTGTATTAAATTTGGTAACTAGTGGACCTGATTTCCAAGCCAAGTGATATTTTCTTTCAATGATAGATAAATTACAAGGGAGCGATTATATTACCGGCCTAAAGTATAGGACCAGGTGTGATAATTAACCCCTTGCCCTGTAACATCGAGTCAGGCTCGTGTTAACGATTTGAAAATCGATTCAACAATGTAAAATATTATTCGGTTTTTTTTTTAGTCGAAGTACCGCATTGCTGGTATTAATATTTTACTTTTACAATAAAAGTACTGATGCTATAAGTATAGAATTCCTTTCGATTCTGGGAAATTATCGATAATATTGGGGAATTATCATACTTTTGGCCGGTAGTGTACATTGTATAAAATAATGTTTGTTGTACTTTTTAAGCTGTGTACCAAAAATGGTACACTCAGCGTAGTGATGAAAATGTAGTGTACCATTTTTTATACACTCGACATTACGATCGCGATCGCAGCGTCTGTAAACGAACACGGACTGCATAAACGAAACAGTAAAAATGTGCTGAAGAAACAATTTTCGACTTCTTTCGAAGTGAATGATACTTTAGCCATAGATTCTTTAGTCACGTTATAAATTCATAAACATCAGTAATCTACTCACTACAATACTTGTTTTGCAGTTCCACATAAAATAACATCAAAACAAGCATCTCCTTAACTAACTATCGAATAAAAGAAAAATATTCTAAAAACATTCATGAGGTTCCCAAGACCCCCACCTCACCAGTTAAGGGTTACCATTCGTACCACAACACCTTCATCCTCAAAAACCTTCCATTCCTCCTAGACTCGTATGATAATCATCACCGTCCAAGCGCCACGTGGTGCCTCAGCTATCGTTACGTAGGCCTGAAGAGCTTCCGCTATCGCGAAACAGTTCCTGGTAGGCCCTTTCGGCCGCTCGAAAATAGCCCAGCGGGCCGTTTCGCGGTTTTACGATTCGGCCACCTGACAGACACCGCGAGACGAGCTTATTATAGGTCGCGTGGGCATCTGCGTGTTCGAGCGTGTGCCACAGCGATCGTTTATTTCGGGGCGTCGGAGAAACCTGCCAATTGACGTTCACAAACGGAAACGGCTGTCGAACCACGAAGATACTCGAGCAAAGACCCGCCGCGAGACCAACTGTGGGATTCGTTGTATAAGCGACGATAATTGATGGAGTTTTGTCTGAACCAAGACCGGTGACTTCCGTCTGCTGACGATCGTCGCGTGAATAATTGAGACGTTTGGGAGACCAGGGCGGAAGGTTATTATTAATTAGCACGGGGCGAATCGTCTTGGAACGATTCGAACTTGGGTTGACGGGAATACTTAATGGTGATGTTGTTGAACGCGAGCCCCTCGACTGCTTGATCGTTCGTGTGACACGATCGAAAGTGTTCTCGCGTGTTAACGTTGATTTCCTCGCATTAGTGGCTTTCCATCGGGCTAGGGTATACAGGGTGTGCCAGTAACTTTGACTGGATGAAATAGCTATTCTTTTTCGAAGATATAAAAAAACTTTATTTACAAAAATTGTATGACAACTAGAGGATCATAATATGCTAATAATAATTCTTTTTTAGGTGGAAAGTTTTGAGAGATTTCTAAGTCATTTTTTTTTAAGCATGCTGTACTTTTTTATCTCTGGTAGAGTAGGGGATGTTTAGACAATTTCAATGATCTATAGTACACGGTCATTCAATATCAAATAAAGGTGTAAAACAATGTTCTTTACGTCATAAGGAGACTGGGGATTTTATACATTATTTGAAGAAGAAATATTTCCTAGCTCTGGACAAGGTCCGATTTGCTATTACTTTTGTATTGCCTATTGTCACAATACTGTCCTTGATCGAATCCAAATGTATCCAACCGAACTCAAACATCTGTTTAAGAACACACTGAGCTTACTATCTCACTGTATCGTTTATGCCACGATTTACTGACCACCTTGTACATTCTTTATATTTCCCACTGTAAATTCGATAACCATACCTATTATTATTTAATCATCATTCAAACAATAGCAGTAATTTACAACTTAACTAAATGACATTAATTTAAACTTGAAATGGTATCCATCCAGGAATTCCCGTTCACGATCCATTCAATTACAAAATCGTTTTCTTGGATCCCCGTCGCTGTGACGGTATGCGCGTCGCCCGACTCCTTTAAAGTTTCCGCGATTAATAAACCACGATGAACTACGGCCGTTCCCATTCATTCCCGCGGGGTCGGGTGATTAACGCGCGAACACGGATCAATTTCAAAAGTCGACTAGAACGAGAACGCACGGCGAAGATTTCCAACATAAGTCACGGAATTTCGTTATCTGGATCATCGACCGCGTAGACGATCTTCAGGCGGAAGATTTATCCTCCTGAATATTCATGCTTAAAGAGGAACGCCATCTTCAACCAGCCTCCTTCCGGCGATGCAAGTATGCGCGCCCGAAGAAGGTAAACTGCACCGTGTCACCGGCGAGCAAAAAAAAAAGAAGGCACTGAAGTGCCTCGAATTTCTTTAAAAGGATCGCAGAAATCGGGACACAGCAGCGAATCCGCCAGCTGTCTTCAAACGTTGAAAAACACCGCGCTTATTTCGAGAAGAAAGGTGAGAATAGCTTGCTTTCAGAATATACAGCGTTTGCGGATGAAATACTGTCGGTCTTTTAACCGAGTTTTCGTCTGAGGAATGTAAATATTCGGGTCGACGCACTCAAATATGAATAAAAACGATCTGACTTTGCATTGTAAAAAAATGAACCGTGATAGGATATCTTGAGACAAAAGAATAAAGAACGAGAAAATAATCGAGAAAGATAAAAAAATCGAGTACAAACGGTGGATTGCTAAATGTGAAAATATAATTTTCAGGCAACACCTGAATAATTTTTTTAGTGCTCTAATAATAGTACAGTAAAACGAGATAATACGCCCCGATTGAAAAAACGCCTCACCACTGCTTGATTGATAATAAAAATTTTTGTATATTTTTTTAAGAAATGTAATAATTACACTTATAATCTATCAGTCTTTCTGAACGACTGAGGTAGGTTCGAATCTGTCGTTTACAGCGATATACAGTAAATCATCGATGAGTGTTTCGAAGGCTCCTAAATCCAGAAATCTCCAATGTTCCAATTACAAAGGAAATTTAACAAATCCACTGATCCATACCTTGTTAAATTTATAAACAAATACAATCTTAAAACATTCCAATATAAACAAAAGTAACATTTTACCACAAAGCTAAAGGACTGCCTGAAGGCAAAGCTGAAATTCTACATACGAAAACAGTGCACACAGATCGAAAGGTACAATTTTCGGAAACTGGAGGAGGGTGAGGGGGGGGATACGCGATTTTACTGATCTTTTCCCAAGCCCCTCGGTCCGGGGTTTAGTTCTAGAGACGCGGAATCGCGGCAGCACTGCCAGCGAGAGACTCGAAATCAATACTCGGTGTGCGTGAGTCTGGCCTGTCGCAATCCTTGCAACGCGATATTACAACACGCAGAGAAAAAAAAGAATTGCACCTGGAGCACCGGTATTGCACCGGTATCGGTGACCCGATCCAGATCATCTGGGAACCGCGATCTACGTCTCATTTATGCCTCCCGTCCCAGCGATCTTCTGGCGCTCCTCGACGAACCATCGACTGAAAGAAAAGAAAAAGAAAGAAAAACCGTTCCCATTCCGCCCGCTATCGCGTGACACACCACCGCGATAATCCTCACGCGATCATTCGGAACCGATTACCGGAATAATCGAGGGTGACTTCGTGCGCCGCGAGGCTCTTCACCTTTTCACGCTGTAAACGAAACCTCCGTGACCGATACACGTCTACAACGAACGAAAAGAAAAAAAAGAAGACACATCACCAATCAGGATAGAAGATTCTAATCAAGAGCCCAACGCGATGGTGGATTCGTCGGTGGACAGTTGCCAAAACATCTCGATCGTCTCGCCTCGGAACCGGTCACCGACCCTACCGGAAAAAACAACCCTGGAAATCCATTACCGTACGTTCCGACATCGATACGTGATTCGTCCAAGCGTGGAGCCTGGCTGCGAATGGGGACGAAGGTTCGAACTCTTTTGTTGGTAGAATAGGTACGTGTAGGATCATCTATTCGTATCTGGTAGACTAAGAGGACGACGCTAGGGATAACGGAAGTGAGTCTTTGACGCACATTCTTCCCATGGTTGTTATTAGACGGGATCGGAGAACAGAGAAAGCTCGAGCAATCTTCGTCTGGATTAAAGATAATCCCTCTTCCTCCCACCACCGATCGGAATCGTAATCAAGGGTCGATTCCAGTCAGCCGGCTCGAAAAGGGTCGTGTACGCTCGAGAATTTTGTGGTAGGATAAGGTTACTGACCTCGGGTGCCAGCGTTATCGAGCGGGTCAGTGGGTCGCAGAACCACAGAGCATATCACCCACCCCCTCCCCCTTGCCCCCTACCACCCCTTGGACGTCTTTCCCTCTCGGACTCTCTTCCTCTGGTCTTGATGGAATTAAAAAGTTGCGGGGAAACGGAGGCGCGAGCCAGAACTAGATTCGTCGGTGGGAACGAAGAGGGAACGCGGGTTTGGTGTCACCCGGAGGCGTTGGAGGAACCTGGTGGTGTTGGCGCGCGACACGAATATAGAATGAACCGAATTTCCTGAATATCCGGGGCTATTGTTCACTGTGAATCTCGTTTAATCGGATGAGGAGGAAACAGGAGAGGGGAGATCGTTGAATAAGATGCACCACTGTTTTGTAGAGGAAGTAGAGATGGCGTGAACTGCTACTTGTGAATCACGAGTG